AGTCAAAGGAAACACAAAAGAGTACAGAATAAAACATCTAACATAAAAGAATGAAGGAGGAAGAATAAGGAGGGAGAGAAATAATCATCAGACTGTTTCTTATAGCTTAATAAGAGAGTTCAGTTAGATGGTTAGATAGTAAAGAAGCTACCATTGAACCTTTGGTAACCATGAATCCAAAGCCTGCAATGGCAGTAAGTACATATCTATCAGTAATCACCCTAAATGCAAATGGACTGAATGCACCAATCAAAAGACACAGAGTAATGGAATGGATAAAAAAGCAAGACCCATCTATATGCTGCTTACAAAAGACTCACCTAAAACCCAAAGACATACACAGACTAAAAGTGAAGGGATGAAAAAAGATATTTCATACAAACAGAAGGGAGTAAAAAGCAGTTGTTACAGTACGTGTATCAGACAAAATTGACTTCAAAACAAAGAAAGTAACAAGAAATAAAGAACATTACATAATTATAAAGGTTGCAGTACAATAAGAGGATATAACCATTATTCACCAGCATATGTGAAACAAATACTAACAGAATTAAAGGAGGAAATAGAATGCAATGCATTCATTTTAGGAGACTTGAACACACCACTCAACTCCAAAGGGCACATCAACCAGGCAGAAAATAAATAAGGACACAGAGGCACTGAAAAACACACTCGAACAGATGGACCTAACACACATCTACAGAACTCTACACTCCAAAGCAGCAGGATACACATTCTTCTCAAGTGCACATGGAACATTTTCCAGAATAGACCACATACTAGGCCACAAGAAGAGCCTCAGTAAATTCAAAAAGATTGAAATTCTACCAACCAACTTCTCAGATCACAAAGGTGTAAAACTAGAAATAAATTGTACAAAGAAAACAAAAAGGCTCACAAACACATAGAGGTTTAACAACATGCTCCTAAATAATCAATGGATCAATGATGAAATTAAAACAGAGATCAAGCAATATATGGAGACAAATGACAACAACAGCACAAAGCGCCAACCTCTGTGGGACACAGCGAAAGTAGTTCTAAGAGGAAAGTATATTGCAACCCAGGCCTATTTAAAGAAGGAAGAACAATCCCAAATGAATAGTCTAAAGTCACAATTACTGAAATCGGAAAAAGAAGAACAAATGAGTCCCAATGTCAGCAGAAGGAGGGATGTAATAAAGATCAGAGAAGAAATAAATAAAATTGAGAAGAATAGAACAATAGAAAAAATCAATGGAAGCAAGAGCTGGTTCTTTGAGGAAATAAACAAAATAGAGAAACCCCTAGCCAGACTTATTAATAGAAAAAGAGAATCAACACACATAAGCAGAATCAGAAATGAGAAAGGAAAAATCACAACAGAAACCACAAAAATACAAAGAATTATTAGACAATACTATGAAAATCTATATGTTAACAAACTGGAAAACCGAGAAGAATTGGACAACTTCCTAGAAAAATACAACCTTCAAAGACTGTCCAAGAAAGAATCAGATAATCCACACAGACCAATTACCAGCAACAAAATTGAATTGGTAATCAAAAACTACCCAAGAAGAAAACACCTGGACCAGATGGATTCACTGCTGAATTTTATCAGACATATAGAGAAGACATAATAACCATTCTCCTTAAAGTTTTCCAAAAAATAGAAGAGAAGGGAATACTTCCAAACTCATTCTATGAAGACAGCATCACTCTAATACCAAAAACCAGGCAAAGACCCCACAAAAAAAAGAAAATTACAGACCAATATCCCTGATGTACATACATGCAAAAATATTCAACAAAATATTAAACCGAATTCAAAAATACATCAAGAGGATCATACACCATGATCAAGTGGGATTCATCCCAGGGATGCAAGGATGGTACAACATTTGAAAATACATCAATATCATCTGCCACATCAACAAAAAGAAGGACTAAAACCACATGATCATCTCCATAGATGCTGAAAAAGAGTTTGATAAAATTCAACATCCATTCATGATAAAAACTCTTAGCAAAATGGGTACAGAGGGTAAGTATCTCAACATAATAAAGGCAATATATGACAAACTCACAGCCAACATCATACTTAGCAATGAGAAGCTGAAAGTTTTTCCTGTAAGATCGGGAACATGACAAGAATGCCCACTCTCTCCGCTTTCATTCAACATAGTTCTGGATCTCCTAGCCATGGCAATCAGTGAACAGAAAGAAATAAAAGGCATCCAGATTGGCAAGGGAGAAGGCAAACTGTCACTATTTGCAGATGACATGATATTGTACATTAGAAACCCTAAGGAATCCACTCCAAAACTACTAGATCTAATATCTGAGTTCAGCAAAGTTCTGGGATACAAATTAAAACACAGAAATCTGTTGCATTTCTATACACTAACGATGAACTAGCAGAAAGAGAAATCAGGAGAACAATCCCATTCACAATTGCATCAAAAAGAATAAAATACGTAGGAATAAACCTAACCAAGGAGTTGAAAGACCTGTACACTGAAAACTGCAAGAGACTCTTAAGAGAATTTAAGGGGACACTAATAAATGGAAATTCATTCCGTGTTCTTGGGTCGGAAAAATTAATATTGTTAAAATGGCCATCCTACTTGATGTATTCTACAGATTCAATGCAATCCCTATCAAAATACCGACAGCATTCTTCAACGAACTGGAACAAAGGGTTCCAAAATTCATATGGAACCACCAGACACCGAATATCCAAAACAATCCTGAGAAGGAAGAATCAAGCTGGGGAATTATGCTCCCTGACATCAAGCTCAACTAAAGCCAGAGTAATCAAGACAATTTGGTACTGGCACAAGAACAGACCCACAGGCCAGTGGAACAGACTGGAGAGCCCAGATGTTAACCCAAGCATATATGGTCAATTAATATATGATGAAGGGCCTGTGGATATACAATGGGGCCATGACTACCTCTTCAACAGCTGGTGTTGGCAAAACTGGACAGCTACATGTAAGAGAATGAACTTGGATTATTGTCGATCCCTGTCCACAAAAGTAAACTCAAAATGGATCAAAGACCTGAATGTAAGTCATGAAACCATAAAACTCTTAGAGAAAAACATACGCAAAAATCTCTTGGATATAACATCAGCAACTTTTTCATGAACATATCTCCATTGGCGTGGGAAACAAAAGCAAAAATGAACAAGTGGGACTATACAAAAATCAAAAGCTTCTGTATGGTAAAGGACATCATCAGTAGAACAAAAAGGCATCCCACAGTATGGGAGAATATATTCGTAAATGACATATCTGATATGGGGTTGCCATCCAATTTATATAAATAGCTTATGCACCTCAACAAACAAAAAGCAAATAATCCAATGAAAAAATGGGCAGAGGAACTGAACAGACACTTCTCTGAAGAAGAAATTCAGATGGCCAACAGGCCCATGAAATGATGCTCCACATTGCTAATCATCAGAGAAATGCAAATTAAAACCACAATGTGATATCTCCTGACACCAGTTAGGATGGCTACTATCCACAAGACAAACAACAAATGTTGACAAGGATGTGAAGAAAGGGGAACCCTCCTACACTGCTGGTGGGAATGTAAATTAGTTCAACCATTGTGGAAAGCAGTATGGAGGTTCCTCAAAAAACTCAAAATAGAAATACCATTTGACCCTGGAATTCCATTCCTAGGAATTTACTGTAAGAGTGTCTGAGCCCATTTGGAAAAAGACATATGCACTCCTATATTTATCGCAGCATTATTTACAATAGCCAAGAAATGGAATCAACCTAAGTGTCCACCAGTAGATGAATGGATAAAGAAGATGTGGTACATATACACAATGAAATACTATTCAGCCATAAGAAGAAAAAAATCCTACTATTTGGAATGACATGGATGGAGCTAGTGGGTATTATGCTCAGTGAAATAAGCCAGGAGGAGAAGGACAAGTATCAAATGATTTCACTCATCTGTGGAGTATAAGAACACACCACAAACTGAAGGAAGAAAACAGCAGCAGACTCACAGAACCCAAGAATGGACTAACCGTTACTAACGGGAAAGGGACTGTAGAGGATGGGTGGGAAGGGAGGGATAAGGGGAAAAGGGAGTATTACAATTAGCACACATAATTAGATGGGGGGCACACGGAGAAGGCAGTATAACAGAGAAGACAAGTAGTGATTCTATAGCATCTTACTATGCTGATGGACAGTGACTGTAATGGGGTATGTCGTGGGGACTTGGTAATGGGGGGAGTCTGGTAACCATGTTTCTCGTGTGTTTTTGCATTAATGATATCAAAAATAAGAATATATGATACTGAGGAAGTACATTCATATGCTCTCAAAGAGGTTACTCTGTGTTTAAGTTTGTCTTCATCCCTTATTTTCCCCTCCCTACGTCCATATTAATGTTGATGCAGTCAAATTTTGTTCAGTTCTAGTTATTCTTTAGATGATCCTTAATTGGAATAACTGCTGAGTTAATTATATGATTTTCTTATTAAGGAAAAACAACCATCATATATTAAAGAAAATTTGAGTTTCAAACATTTCTGCTTGCACTAAAATCATCAAAGTTCCTTTAAACCAAAATATATTTGGGGAAAAGCCCAGGAGTCTTTTGAAGGCTTTTTAATGGTATTTTGAAGTATTTTAAAAGGTACCTTTCCAATGCATCTAAAGTATTTTTACATATTTTAGAAAGAAAGCAAGATTTTAAAAGTATTCTTATCTTACATTCATTAATTTGCATATATACATATTAAATATGTATATGTGGTTTTTATCATAATATACGTAGGCATATTCCCATCTTTTTATTATTTTCTTATGGGCCTGTTTATACTTAAATCTCTGAGCAGGACCTTCTAAAATCTTCATTCTAGAACTTTCATTTGTATAGATATTTTGATATGATGAAGGCAACACAGAAGAGCTCAAGTACTTTTATTAAATGATAAAAAAGCTCTAATTCTTTGAAAGTAATTTTTTGTTTCTTTATTACAGGTAAATTGGGATATTCACGTACAGAAACAGAGGTAAGAGATGCTCAAATATTTCTTACAGTCTTTGACTTGAGTACTGAACTGTTTTACTGTGGGGTGTTTGTATTCTTCAATAAATGAATGAATGAATGAATAAATTAATTAATAATCAAATGTACATCACAGTGATTCAACAGTCCCCTTCACCGACCCACTCCCCTTCCCCTTGGTAACCATTAGTCATTTCTCAGTGTTTATGAGTCTAATAGTGTTTTGTTCCTTGTTTTTTACTTTGTTGTATTCCACAAGTAAGTGAAATGATATGGTATGTGTCTTTCTCCACCTGGCTTATTTCACTGAGCATATACCCTCCAGATTCATCTGTGTTGTTGCAACTGACAGGATTTCTTTTCTTTTTATGGCTGAATAATATTCTGTTGTGTATATTTACCACATCTTCATCCATTCATCCATCCTTCTATTGATGGACACTCAGGTTACTTCCATATCTTGGCTATTGCAAACAGTGTGGCGATAAACATGGTGGTGCTCAAATGTTGTTGAATCTGGGATTTTGTTTTCTTAAGGTAAATTCATTGGAATGGAATTCCTGTTTCAAATTGTATTTTTGTTTCTAGTTTTTTGAGGAACCTCCATACAGCTTTACATCGCAGTTACACCAATTTGCAGTCCCACCTACAGTGTAGGAGGGGAGGGTTCCTGTTTCTCTGCATCCTTACCAGCATTTGTTATTTCTTGTCTTTTGGGTAGTTCTAACTGGTGCGAGGTGATACCTCATTGTGGTTTTAATTTACATTTCCCTGGTGATTAGTATTTGTGGAGCATCTTTTCATGTGCTTGTTGGCCATTTGTACTTTTTCTTTAGAAAAGTGTCTGTTCAGATCCTCTACCCATTTCTTGATTGGGTTATTGGTTTTTTGGGTGTTGAAGTGTATGAATTTTTTATATATTTTGGATGTTAACCCCTTGTTGGATATGTCGTTTATAAATATATTCTCTCGTACTGTAGGATGCCTTTTTGTTCTGTTGATGGTGTTGTTTGCTGTACAGAAACTTTTTAGCTTGTTGTAGTCCCACTTGTTCATTTTTGCTTTTATTTCCCTTGCCTGAGCAGACGTGTTCAGGGAAAAATAGCTCATGTTTATATTCAAGAGATTTTTGCCTATGTTTTCCTCTAAGAGTTCTGTGGTTTCATGACTTAACATTCAGGTCTTTGATCTGTTTTGAGGTTATTTTTGTGTATGGAGTTAGACAATAATCCAGTTTCATTCTCCTACATTGTCCAGTTTTGTCAACAGCAGTTGTTGAAGAGGCTGGATTTTCCCCATTCTATATTTATGCCTCCTTTATCATACATTAATTGACCATATATGCTTGGGTTTATATCTGGACTCTTCAGTCTGTTCCATTGATCTATGGGGCTGTTCTTTTGCCAGTGCCAAACTGTTTTGATTATTATGGCTTTGTAGTAGTTTGAAGTCAGGGAGTGTAATCCCAAGCTTTGTTCTTTCTCAGGATTACTTTGGCTATTCAGGATCTTTTGTGGTTCCATATGAATTTTAGAACTTTTTTTCTAGTTAATTGGAGAATGCTGTTGGTATTTTGATAGAGATTGCATTGAATTTATAAATTGCTTTGGGCAGGATGGCCATTTTGACAATATTATTTCATCCTATCCATGAGCACGGATGTATTTCCATTTTTTGGTTTCTTCTTTAGTTTCTCTCATGATTGTCTTGTAGTTTTCAAGGTATAGACCTTTCACCTCCTTGGTTAAGTTTATTCCTAGATATTTTATTCTTCTGATGAAATTGTAAATGGAGTTGTTTTCCTGATTCTCTTTCTGCTAGTTTCTTGTTAGTATATAGGAATGCAACAGATTTCTGTGTATTAATTTTGTATCCTACAACTTTGCTGAATTCAGTTATTACTTCTAGTAGTTTTTTGATCAAGTGTTTAGTGTCATCTGCAAATACTGAGAGTTTATCTTCTTCCTTACCAATTTGGGTGCCTTTATCTCTTTGTGTTGTCTGATTGCCATGTCTAGGACCTCCAGTACTAAGTATGTTGAATAAAAGTGGTGAGAGTGTGCGTCCTTGTTTTGTTCCCAGTCTTAGAGGAAAAGCTTTCAGCTTTTCTCTATTAAGTATGATGTTGGCTGTGGGTTTGTTGTATATGACTTTTATTATATTGAGGTACTTGCCCTCTATACCCCATTTGTTGTGAGTTTTTATCATCAATGAGTGTTGAATTTTGTCAAATGCATTTTCAGCATCTATTGAGATGATCATGTGGTTTTTATCCCTTATGTTAATGTGGTATCTCATGTTGATTGACTAATGAATATTATACCATCATTGCATCCCTGGAATAAATCCCATTTTGTCATGAAGGAGATTGATCTTTCTGTTGTGTTTTTGGATTCGATTTGCTAACATTTTGTTGAAGATTTTTGCTTCTGTGTTCATCAGAGATATTGGTCTATAATTTTTTTTTGTGGTGTTGTCTGGTTTTGGTGTTACAGTCATGCTGGCCTCATAGAATGAGTTTGGAAGTGTTCCCTCCTCTTCTGTATTTTGGAATATTTTAAGAAGAATGGTCTTAGCTCTTTAAATGTTTGGTAGAATTTGGATGTGAAGCTGTCTGCACCTGGAGTTTTGTTGTTGGGAAGTTTTTTGATTACCAATTTAATTTCTGCTGGTAATCTTCCTGTTTATATTTTCTGTTGCTTCCTGGGTCAGTCTTGGAAGGTTGTATTTTCTAGAAAGTTGTCCATTTCTTCCAAGTTATTCTGTTTGTTAGCATGTAATTTTTCATAGTATTCTCTAATAATTCTTTGTATTTCTGTGGTGTCCATAGTGACTTTTCCTTTGTCATTTCTTGTTCTGTTTATGTGTGTACATGTAGCGGATGGCATTGTAGGGTCTCTTTTCATCCAGATAGTGGAAATTGTTATATAGGAGAAAGAGAGGATTATTGAGGGACTCAGGTGGGAGAGAGACACACTTCAGCATCGCTTGGAGAAGCTGGGGATAACCTATGGGATGCTGTTAAAGAAGAGAGACAGTTACTGAAAGGCAGGTCACGCTCCTAGAAGATTCCCTAGCAGTGGCAAGGGGGGAGACGGCAGGAAAAGCCGCATTGCAGGAGACTGTGGGGGAGGGGGAGGGGGAGGAAAGAGTAGTGCCTTCAGCTCCAGAGATGGTGGAGGAGGAGGAGCTGTTGGTGGAAGAGCCCGAGGGAGAAGAGGAGGAGGTGGGGCTATTGGCAGATCTGCCACCCAGGCCGCCACAGCCGGTACCATCTTCTCCCGTTTTAAAGGCCCACCCATCTGTAATTAAGAAAATAAAAGCAAAACAACTTCTGGCTCCTCAGGGGGAGGAGCAGCCCCCTCCCCAAGTTGTGGAGCACTCCATGCTCCACTCCTACACCCAGGATGAGCTGGTGGACCTGAGCATCCTTTATAGGCAGAGGCCATCGGAATCTCTGCCTACATGGCTTTTATGTCTCTGGGATACTGGGGTGGAAAACACTGTTGTGTCAAGTGCTGAGAAGAGTAGAATGGTTTCCCCAATGACTCACCCTTCCCTCTGGCAGTGGTTGCAAAGTGCGGGTCACGCCTCGGGGAATCAGACACTCCTGGAATGACTGACAGCAGCCATCAGGGTAGTTTGGCCTAATCAGGGTGATCTACCATATTTTCACAGTAGTTGGAAAACATATGCAGAGCTCCAGGAGGTACTGCGGGAACTGGGTATGAAAAACATCATCTATAATATGAACCCCCAGGGCCCTGATGAGGAGATGTTCACTATAGGAATGAGAAACCTGGTGCTGCATACAGCTCCCACATCTCTCTTTGGGTCCCTAGTGAATACTCTTGCCCCCCAAATAGGGCAACCCATAAGTGAAACTACTTGTACTCTAGCAGATCTGGGAGAGGTTGAAACAATAAGGGCCCGGAGGGAGGTATAGGCCATGACTGAAAGGAGAGGTGCAAAAGGCCCTGTGACGGTGTCGAGGACCCAGATGTGGGTTGATTTGATAAAGGCCGAGGTAGTGAAAGAAAAACTTGATGGGCAGCCCAATAGAATCTTGTTAGAACTGTGGCACCAATTAAAGCCAGAGCAGCAGTTCTAGCCACTGAGGTCCAGGACATGGAAACCAGATTGTAAGGCAATATTTCTGGAGGGGTGGCCTGTGTGTAAAATTGTAACACTTCCAGAATATCTTGCCTGGCTTTAGTGCATTTGCATAATTTCAGGGGTGGTGAGAAGTTCGTCTCCGTATCAATGGATAATTACCTGGGCAAACGAGGGTGTGTCTGAACCTGAGAGTTTAAAGGGAGGGGCTGGCTTGCTTGCTTGCTTCTTCTGGAGCCGAGGAGCAAGATGGCCATGGACTGCAGTTTGTAAGCAATAAATGGGTTTTAAACTTTATTTCTCTCTGTAATTGATTTTGGTTTTTAGAGGTATTTTGCCCTGGGATTTCCTCTCCCCGGACTTATAGCCTATTAGGTGAATATTGTTTCATTTGGATTTGTGACATAGCTCTATTATTCTTTTATTCTTACATATCCTTATTTCTCTCTGTTTCTCAGCTTTTTTGTTTTCCTTTTCTTTAATTTCTGTTTCATTTACCATCCCTACATGATCTAATCTACTTTTAAATTCTCTCGTTGTATGTTTCATTTCAGATACTGTATTCTTTATCTCTCAATGGCTCTTTTTCAGGTTTTCTGTCCCTTTGTTGAAGTCTTCTCTGAAATCCTGAATACTTCTATGTATAAATCTGTGAGCATGTTTATGACTTTTATTTTGAAATCTTTATCAGGAACAATCTGATCTCTGTTTCAGTCAGCCCTCTTTCTGGAGTTCTGTCTTATGGTTTTCTTTTGATCAGATTCCTCTGCCTGTTCATTTTGTCAGGGATTCTGTGTTTCTTCCTTTGTATCAGAAGTATCTGCTATGCTTACTTCTCTAAAGACTGATAGCTTCCTGGAGAAGCTGGGCTATGGTTCCCAGAAGCTCAAG